CCTCGCAGGTCACGCAGACGAGGTATGGGCATTGGCGACACACCCCACGCTGGCGCAGTTCGCGTCGGCCGGCTGGGACCGCCTGCTGCAGCTGTGGGACGGCCTGTCGCACTGCACCGTCTGGAGCAAGGACATCGAGGTGGCGCCACGACACTTACTTACACTTCTTACACGCACGTTTTCAATTATACCATTTCTTTCTGCAACTCTTTCATTCATTAAAACCATTTATAGTTTATGTGTACAAAAAATCAAATCACAATATTTTATCAGTTTTGACCAAAAATAAACTGAGCAAAGTTTTCATGATGTTTGCAGGAGCGAGCGCAATGCGTGGCGTGGTCGAGTGACGGCGGAGTGTTGGCCGTGGGCTGCCTCACTGGCAAGTGGCGCGTCTACGACCCGCACTCCAGGGACCTGCTGGCCGAGCATACTGACGGGTACTGTACCTCGATACATACTATACATTATACTAGTGCACATTAACATAGAAAATACTATATTGATTTATTCGAGGATACTCGTCTAATTTCGATCCATAACGACGGGGACTTTTATAATTATGAGCTGCATTGCCGATGAAAAGCTTCGCACAGTCAGGGAAATCTTCGAACGTATTCGAATGGTAGTAAAGTAAAAATTTTTGACTAACTGTCTAAAACCAAGTTTATGTATTTTCCCTTTGACCATTTACAGGAATGAGCCAATCCAAACGATTCAGTACTCTCCGGACAACTCGATGGTAGCTCTAGGCTCTCGTGACAACTTCATCTACGTATACCGTGTCGAGGATAACGGGTCTCGGTACAGCAGACTGGGGAAGTGTCTTGTAAGTACATACACTATAATTAATGTTCTACTTATTGTACCTATTAAAATAAATTTTACCGATTAGTAGGTATTTAGTATACTTCAAAAACATACGTAGAACTCTTTCAAGTTCTTCATGAGTTAAAATACCTATGTACTCTAGAAATAAATCAAATAAATTCATAGTAATGTTGTGTATTTTGTCAAGATTGTTGTTTGATAGTAAAGCCATGTCTAAAATGTACATAATTTGTAATAACCATTTTACATATGTTTTCATATCATTCATTGCTGTTGAAAACCTTGTATTTGTTACAGTTAAACAATTCTTTAACTGTTTCCGTATATTTAAAAAAATATTCTAGTATTTTATTTAGTTAAAACGGAAAACCAATTACAGTAACAAAATATGTATTTTACATGTAGATCCAGCTAGAAATTTACTTTCAAATAAGTGTAGACTTATTATTATTACATTTTTATGCAATAGAGTTATTAACATTGTTTTATTACTTTATTAGAGTAAAATAGTTATTAGAATATTTGTTAGTAAACTGTCTGACAAAATTTTAATGAGTAATTTTGTAACTTGTACAATTTCACGCGACTTTAGTGCACGGAGAAAAAGCGTAGAAGGGTAACATTACATTCATATTGCATGTTTAATATAAGCCATAGATCGCTTACAGGATTTAAACTTATACCTAGATCCCTCTTCCAGTCTGGAATGCTCTATAGATGTGAATGTCAGCATAAAATAATGTACCTACTATATTCTGCCAAGCTTCATATTAATACTATGCTTGTCCTTTTGGTCTCAAAACCAAGCTAATTTAAATCAAATACTGGAGAATTTTACCTAAACTGTTGAAAAATCCAAATTTAAAAGCTCGCGTAGGTATTAAATAAATAGGTATACCAATTATTATCTTCCTATAAAAAATTAAATTCAAAGTTCGGTCTGAATTTGGTTTGATGTTTCTTCTAACAATATTTGGTGGGAACTAGATAACCTTATGTAAATTATTATTTACATATACAACGTGCAAAATTGCCAATATATACCCTATATTTATCATCAAATCGTAGTTAAAGGATCATATTTGGATTTTTCAAATACTAAAACTTTAAAACCCAACCAATTTCCCCCAGCAATATTTCCCTTCAAGCAAATGTACCTAATTATACCAAAGTAGTGCAAGGTAGTGCTATATATGTAATACCACCATCTTATACAGTTATATCTAAGACTTGTCATACGATATCCACAGGGACACTCTAGCTACATAACTCACTTGGACTGGTCGGAGGATGGCCAGTACATCAGGAGCAACTCCGGAGATTATGAGCTGCTTTACTGTAAGTATTATATTATACAACAATATGGGCATTTTCCTAGTTTAGCCTGTGATTTCTGGTAATTTACAGCAACAATGTATCTTACTATTTTATATTAAATCTAGGCAAGGCAAAACCTAAAAAAACCGAGTGGTTACACAGAATTATTTACTGGTGAAAATGGCATGAAAACTCGTTTAGTAATTTTTGAGTTTATAGCGTATAGACCAACATACCTAACCGTGGACGTCGTTTTGTATGGAAATCAAGCAGATAAATTATAGAATATACTATTTTCACTAGGAAACTTTGCAATAACAACAATACTATACAATACTGTTTTCCACAGGGAACGCCACAACCTGTCGTCAGATCCCACAGCCGACGTCAATGCGTGACGTGGTGTGGGCGACCAACACTTGTCCCATCACGTTCCAGACTATCGGGGTCTGGCCAGAGAACGCAGACGGCACTGATATTAATAGTTGCACCAGGTAAAGCATACATGACATTGTTTATTTACGTCTTATAATCTGGTCGTAGGTGGTAGATCTTCATATTATGGGACCAGAAAGTGTAGGTCCGTTTTGTATTTAATCCGTAAATTTAAGCACTATGCCAATTAATTCACTAGACTATAATTTACCTGTCGACCTATACCTAAGTATATATACTTAATCTAAGTAATGAAGTAAATATATTTTTTATATTATCATTACAGGTCCCACGACAATCGGCTGGTGGCTACGGGTGACGATTTCGGTAAAGTGAAGCTTTATGCTTACCCAGTAACTCAGCCTAAGGTTAGTAATACATTTTCATACTTGTCTCTAGCACTGGCTTGCAAAATCAGTCGCTAACTCATGAATGCTTTTAAAAGATTCTTAACCTTATTCTTCTGTAGTAAAGTTGAAAATCTTGTAACATTTCTGACTCAGGGACCGATTTCTGTCAGAGACAATAACGAATTAAGTGACTAAAAATAAGATAAGAACACCGATCAAGAAGTCTCGAATTTAATTCTCTGATGAACCATAATATAATTGCTCTGTAATTATATCCGGTATACGTATATGGCAATAGGATTACTACCTCTCAGCCTATCCATCAGGGAATAAAATAAATCATCCTGTTAGCTAACTAATGTACTTTACGTTACAGTCGCTGTGCCACCAATACGGCGGACACTCATCCCATGTGACGTGCGTTCGATTCCTGCCTGATGACTCGCGCCTCATCACCACTGGCGGCCTCGATACCAGCGTGTTGCAGTGGGTCGTGGATTAATTTACTATCAAACAAAAATATAGGAAGCCGAGATTTATATTCAGAGACAGATAAATATCTCATAATTCTTTGTCTCTATATATAAATTCCGGGTCAAGATCCCTAAGACCAATTTATGTGATTACGAAACTAAAAATCAAGGTATCCAATCACTTTTGACATTAGTCAAATTATACAAGTTTATCGACAAAATCATACATTGCATAAAATATTGCTTATTTTAATTAGCACAGAGTTAAAGGTTGATTTTTTTATGAAGGTTTATTGTAAGTAAGTCAATCTTTAATTGTATTTTCAATGTAATTATTGCTAATGTAAGTCACTAAATGTGGGCTGTTTACACACATGTGATTTGCGACGCCTACTACAAACGCCTATTTAATGAATGTTACTTCAGTTTTCATGCACATTGTGCTGTATTCTTATATTTATATTTAAAATATTGTACACTAAACGTTGCATAGATAGGTGCACGGTTGTGATCATAACGAGCTAAGTAGAAGGACAATTTATTTGTAAACATTTGTCTTTGATCACACAGAATTTAATAATCAATCTAATACAACAATACAAATGTTTACTGATAAGTACAATTGTTAAGGGAATCCGTCGATTTTTAACACTAAGTGTAGAGCGTGTATGGCAACACTAACGTTTTAACGAAATGTACACACACTTGAACACTGGTAGGTTTTATGTGATTGAGCTTTTTGGCGCGTAATTTTAATATTTTAGGCATAATATAATTATGTATGTACACAATATTTTACATTGATAAGTGATAATCAGAAATTGTAATACAAATTAGATTATTTTCTTTTTATTTTATTATAAGATCTGCGTTTTGTGAACATTAACTTTATTGAAACTGTCTGATCTAGATGAGGTCGGCAGCCATTGTAAGTTAGTAATATTATTTTATTGTTTGAATGACAAGAAGTTAATTGTAATTGTTTTAAATAATAGCAACATGTGTTATGTTGATGCAGCTTACAGTACAAAGAAAACACTTATTTTATAGTCCACTGAGACGGTAAGCTTATCCATCCGAAGTTTTGGCGGGTGTAATGTACGTATAGCATAGAGCAGAGGATAGCTTGATCAGTTATTCATAATTTACGTAAGTAAAAGTATACTAAACATTATTCATGATTCGAGTACATTCCACGAGCAAGTTGAGCCTAACAGTAACAATATAGTTTCGTGTTTCAGTAGGATCGTAAGGTTTAGTAGCCTAGTCACTGCGACATCCGCATCGGTGTAATTTCTCACGTAACGTAGCACTAAAGTTATTGTATTTGTAAATATATTGTACGACGGTGCCGCCGTCTGTTCATTGTGCCTCCAATATAATTGAATATTTAAAATTGTTGCTGTTTTATTTTATAAATCCTTCAAACCTTTACCTACACGAATATTCAAGAAACCATGGAAGATTCTTCATAACTATAGAATTTTCATAACTGAAATACTTTGTTAATCTATGAATTTTGAACCTGACACTAATTCTCTAACTTTGTTCGCCTGCTCCCCCTAATCTTTGCCAACGAGACAGTCAGATTATAAAATTTTGGTGAAATATATTGTTTACCACAAATGTCATCAGATGAATTGATAAACCGCTTTTTTGCCTGCAACGTTTATACAGTAGTATATTCCTTACTGATACACAATTAGATAAATTGATAGATGGTCTAAGACACTAAGTTAGAACTTTTGCAAGGACAGTAACTTTACAATGCCAAGGCAGCGAACATGTTATTGGGGAGAATCGGGCAAAAGGAATAAAAGTAGCACTGTATTATAATAGCTAATATTATTATGAACACATTTCTGCTATACCTAATAAAATAAATATTAAAAAAAGAAAACATAAAAATAAAACAATTTATTAAAATAAATAATAAATCGTTCGAAACGAACTAATAATGATACAAAATAAACATAAAGTAATATTCAAAACACAATGTCACTCCAAAACCTTTCCTTACACTGTTACAATGTTTGCTTACAGTGGCGCATAATATACGCGTCACACTATTTCATTCTTTAGTGTTTTGTAATTAATTTACTACGAACGGTCTACCTACTATATTTCATTGGATAACAACATATTTCACCAATATCACGTAGATAATAAAACAGGAAATAAATAGATATTGCTATGCTAAGACCTCATATGCACGAAAAGGTTTCGAAGTATAAAAAACTTAAAAGTAAATTGCCGATTGAATACAGCTCTAATCGGATTGCAAACGAAACTATTTGTAACTTCTGGGATAACTTAAACATGGTTCTTTATTTACATCTGCTGACAGAAACCGTCTGGGTAATAATCTAGACACGACTGTTTACATTAGCGATTCTTATATACTATTTAACAGACTTCTTATATGCTTCAAGTCATAACTACGAAGTTAACTCGCTATACTTTACAAAACAGTCTAGTGCCGCATTGCACACAACAAAAGCTACACTATTTCCGCGGAACACGTCCGGTCGAACGTTTCGTCTAATGTTGCGTCTCGCAGGATATCATGGACAGGTTTATGAAAACCATACATAAAAGTCAACGATTTAATTCAAGTCTACATTAATTCTCCTATATTAATTGTTCTACGCTACTGGCGGACAGCTCCAGCAGTCGCCAGGCCGCCTTGGGGTTGAGCTCGGCGGGGTCCCGACACAGCACCCACACGTAGTTGACGCGCATCACCTTGTCGGGGTCGCCCTCTATCACTTTGTTCTTACTGTCTCTGACGCACATGATCTGCTGTGACTGGAATGTTATGACTAGAACTGGACCCTGGTCCATCATTTTGCCCATGACGAGTTCGATCTGTTCGATATCCAGGATCTTAGAGTCTAAGTGATACCCGAGCTGTTTGCACTGTTTGATGGGTGTGGCCAGGATGTTGAACACGCCTTCGTAGCACCAATCTTTGAGAATTTCCAAATCTCCTCGTACCATTGCTTCGAGAATATTCGGTATGATGTCGTTCGCACAGTCCTCTAAGAACTTCTGAGACGTGAAATTAGGGTCGATCTTGCATATTTCGGTGAGGGTTTTGGACAGTTCGGTCTTCTCGAAAATATTGCCAAACAAGCTGCCTACCTTCTCGGTGACGAATCGTGAAGCTTTCACTACAGGGTTGTCGGACTCTTCGTATTTTATCTTCCAATCTAGTACCTGTAGTAACAAATAGATATAATGAGAAATAAAAGTAACACATTTTAATATTTGTTTGTTTGTTTTTTAAAAACGTTGTTCCACACTAGGATTTTCTCCTGTTTCGTGTGTGCGTTTAGAAACATACAAGTTCACATACAGATGACACCCAGACCCGGAACAACAATCTGTGGATCACACAAAGAGTTGTTCCGTGCGGGAATCGAACCCGCGACACGTTGTGCGGCAGCCAGTTGCCCAACCCCCGCACCAACCGTGCAGTCAATAACGAGGCAGGAATGAATGTGTGACATTGTACCTTGTTGAAATATTGGTTGTTATTCTTGAAGCTCTCCCACTGCTGGTAGAACTTGGAGTCCTTGTGCAACTCCACGCCTACAGTCTCGGTGTCTGGAGCGAACGTGCGCTCGTCAGAAGCAACCTGTAACATACAATTAGGTCTAATAATACACATCCAAACATGAACATTAAAAATGAATCAATTTCTTCTCTAAACTACAGATAACAATAATTGAAAATTTAGGGGGAAATGAAAAAAATATAATAATATTTTTTGTATTAACACAGTACCTATGCATAGAGGGGAAACAGTTCTTGTGAAGCACCACCAGCTTCTTACCTTCTAAGACTAATAATTACAAGCTATTACAAGCAATTATATTGACCTCAATGCGTTTCCGTAGGGCATTGGGTGCCATGTAGACGCGGCCCTCCAGTCCTCGAGGCGAGATCTCGTCCTTCACTACTGCTGTCGCCTGGAAACATATTTTGACATGCAAAGTTAAGTTTCGTGAAACATAATAAATTTATTTTCAATATTTTTTGATTTAATCACATAACTGTTTGACGATAAACTAATATAGGCTATCAAAATCTACTACCAATAGGAGCCGAGCAGAGCGGGTAGCTAATAAAAAA